TATTTAATTAGGTACTAAAAACCTAAATATCCATAAATATATCTATAAATATCCATTTGTAATTGGTAATTGGTTGACTGTCGTGGATAATGAAGAGAAGAATAGTTGGGGTGCTCAGTCAAAAAAGGAAGGCAAAAAATAAATTATAATATTTATTTTTTACATATGCCGACGTTTCGACCTGAAGTTCAGGCCTTCATCAGGGCTTTCCTTATCTTTAAATATCCATTTGCTTTTCACTGCAATTGAGAGATAATATCATCACTAAATAAAAAAAAAAAAAAAAAAAAATATGACCTATAAAAATATCACGACGCTTGGTTTGTTCTCCACTAGGACTGTTTGGCCTACACAAATATATGCCAATATTTTTATAGGCCACCTTTTTTTTTATACCTTGTTATGATATTATCTTACGATTGAAGTGGAAAGAAAATAGCTATTCGTGAGTTTTTAGTACCTAATTAAATAGACAAAGTTTGCCATTAACATCCGGCTAAAACTTCGTAGATAGTTTCAAATTATCTTAACTTACAAATATTTTATTTAGGAAAAATCTCGGAATTGGGGCGTTTTCAATCTGGAGGTCGGCAAAGTTTGTCTGTTTAATTAGTTACTAAAAACTCGTAAATGCCCATTTGATTTCCACTTTAATCGTAAGATAACTTGAGCACAAAGTCGGAAAAAAAGATGGCCTTCAAAAATGTTGAGCCGTTTGGCGCATATAACCTCGTTAGTTTGACAAATTTGAGGAGTATATCACGCCAAGTGGCTCAATATTTTTTAAGGACAACTTTTTTCTCAAGTTCATCTTACGATTGAAGTGGAAAGAAAATAGCTATTTGTGAGTTTTTAGTACCAAATTAAATAGACAAAGTTTGGCAATCCCCAGATTGAAAACGCCCCAGTTACGAGGATTTTCGACAGGAGGTAAGGCAGGTACTAAAAATTCATGAATAGCTATTTTCTTTCCACTTCAATCGTAAGATCATATCATATCAAAATATTTTAAAAAAAAAAGGTGGCCTACAAAAATATTGGACCGTTTGGCCTAATACACAACATCCACAGCCCTAGTGGAGATTACACCAAACGTCCTGATATTTTTGTAGGTCATTTATTTTATTTTATTTTTCGATTTTGTAATATTATTTTACGATTGCAGTGGAAAGCAAATGGGTATTTATGACTTTTTGGTACCTAATTAATTAGACAAAGTTTTCTGATCTCCAAATTTAAATATCCACTTTAACAATTTAAATCTATACTATGTTACCTAGGATTCCACCTGGACAAACGTCTAACTTGGAATCCTCATACCAGACTGAAACGACAAGAAACAGCTAGACGTTTCCGACTACTCCAACACTTACTAGACTTATGGTCTAACCTTCCAATTAATTACTAAAGACTCATTTACATGACTATAATAAGGCCTATTTGGACTTACGGGGTTGAGCTATGGGGCTCCACCAAACCTTCAAATTCCTCTCGCATACAGTCCTTGCAATCCAAAATCCTTCGTAAAATCCTCAATGCTCCTTACTTTGTTACAAATAAAATTATCCATAATGACCTTAATGTTCCTTATGTATCAGATTTGGCCCAATCCAGATATCTGTCCTTCCATAATAAACTTCATAACCATCCCAACCCTCTTGTCTCTAACCTTGCTTCCTATTCGATTCCTGATAACCCTCCGAGGCGTCTGAAATGAAGATGGCCACGTGATCTTCTAATATAGACATATTATTAGAGTGCTACCAATGGGTAGTTTCTCAACATGTGTTCCATGTCATTATACCAATGTGCAAATTTACTAGATGTATTTTTTGTATACAGTTGTAAATATCATTTAAAAAAAAAAAAAATAAATAAAAAACGCTACGATTCCGAGAATTTTGGCAAATAAAATGTTTATAAGTTACGATGAGCTATTTACGAAGTTTCAGGCGGATGTTAATAATTTGATAAGAAGGGGCCGTATCACTGATTATATCCCAATTAGAGGCACACTAGCCTTTATCATTATATAGTTTATATACAATATAAGCTGCAATGTAACTAACCATAATATATGTAGTTTATTGAATAATACCTACATTATGATAGACTAATATATTGTCTATATAGTATAATTGTTATATTATATTATATACACATTGTATGTGAGAGCTCTCACATCAAATAGGTAATCTTCCCAATAATGTATTCGAAATATAAGCAAAATCAGCGAAAAATGCTTATTTGTTGGTTTTTAAGTAAAGGCGTAAAACCTGTTGGTTATGAACGCCATTGATTAAGATTATATAAAACTTATGGGGTATCCTATATAAAATAAAAAATATATATATAATATAAAAGAATAAGGCTCATAAATAGTTATATGTAAGTTATAATTTATATAGGCATATGTTTGATAAAATAATCAACAAAGCATAATCTAATAAAAAAACATTTTAATAATATTTATGTATATGAATAATTAAGAGGGAATGACTTCGTTGTACCTTTCTAAAACGATATTTCTTTTTGAATTTATCATATATTGAATTTATTGATTTTATTTTGATATTGATTATAAATTGATAATGAATTTATTGATTTTAATTTGATTATAGACCTTACTACTAGATAAATTATAAATACTATACTTGGTAGAATTTAAAAACTTATTTTGAAACTAAATATTACATTGCACCATGAAACATCTGGAGACTTTAATAAACTGAAAGTAAAGACATTTGTCGAGAAAATTTGATATATTTTCAAATTTATAGCCCAGTTATAGCGGAAGCTGGAAAAGTGCTTCCCTTTTTGATAAATGTGGGGAGGGCTGAATCCCACTTAAAAGAAAAGTTACTGTGCAAGTGAAAAATAAATTAAATTTTTCTACGTCATTCACTGTTAATATCAAGGTTATAGAATAATTATGAAGGGCATTAATATTAAAAACGAATAAATAATTGCTTATTGAAAGTAGAATTGAGTGTGTATGGATTAGGAATCTAATATACTAAATGACAGATTATGAAAAACCCCAATAGTGGAAAATCGCACTAAGGTAATTGTATAATTAATGCTTACTTAAAGACATTAATTATGTTAGAAAAATTTTATTAAATTTTCTAAATTTAATTTATTGAAATGGTGGGGCCGGAGAGGAGAAAATTCGAGCCACAAACGGCACTTTTATACCTCCCTCTCAAGGTAGATAAAATAGATACCCTTCAGCCTATTGGAGGCAACCCACACCAATCGGGCGAAGGAGTGATGATCCTACCCCGTGTATTTTATTCAGGAATCGTAAGGTGGCTTTTCGGAATATCTATTACACCTAGAGGTTGATCCGTGGAGCATCTGTTTCTGGGAAAAATATGTTTGTCCTTGTGGGCCTACCGACTCTGAAGAGTCATAACTGATGGATTTAAACCGGTTTTTCACTGTCTTTGAGCCCGTATGAGTCAGTGAAAAGGACAGTTGGTGGCCTGCCGCTGCACTATAGAGACCATGAACGTGCGTAGCAACATGAAGTTGGGTGACCCCCTCCAGGCTATCTGTACTCCCGCAAGTCTCTTTAAGAAGAAAACATCGCGCGGTCTAAGATCTGATTCATAGCGCCAAGTGAAAAAAAAAAATAATCTTCATTCAAAATCTTCGAAATTCTTAAATCCGTCATGTATCTTTAATTTAACATTCACTGCCGACGACCACCTTTGATACAGTACAAAAGTATATTATTTTCAGAGAAAATAATAGGAAGTAAAACGCTTAATAATTTTATTATATAATTTCTAATATATGTAATTTTTTTTGTTGTTGCTTTTTTTAAACTCCATTTCATCACCCACACCTGTCATAAGCAATGACAATTAGCGGGTCTGTTGTCGGTAAGATTATAAGTAGCGGCTTGATTGGCTTGATGCAGAGGATTGCCCAGTGGCACCCCTTCCTGTCTTCAATTTAGCATATTTTAAAGCGAGGAAATCCCTCATCCAGCTCCTTTTGATCCTCCTAAGTGTGTTGTCGGGCATTTTAAATGTAGCCATACTTTTATGGATGATAAACATTCAGGGCGCATTCTTTTTTTTTTTCATTTTAATTTTTTATTTATGCCAAAGTTTCAATCCAAACATGTGGGTCATCTTCAGGGCTGAACAAAATACAATCAGAGATATAATATTATACGATCGATAATGGTAAATAATAAACTATAGTGATTGATGGTAAATGAGTCTTAAGTAATATTGTAATACACATATTAAAAATGAAATATGTAAATAGTTATAGAAACTACAAATTAAAAAATAATGTATATAATCCATTTATACAAATTTGTAATATTTTCTCTTACTACCGTGGTTTGAGCACTGAGGGTGTTCAAGTGCTGACACATTTGGTAGGTAAGAAATGTTGGCATAAATAAAAATTTTAAAAACGACTGCGTCTTGAATATTTATAACCCATGATATGTAGAATAGTCGACTAACTTCCTTCAGTAGCCATACTTTGTATAAGTGTATTAGTATGTCCATGTAAGTTATTGTGAAATCGCTTTCAGTATGTCTTTGTGTGGTCATTAACAGTTGGCATTTGAAGGTCTTTATGTAAAGTAATGTTTGTGACATACCATGGAGCTTTATTTATGGTCCTGATAGTTTTGGACTGAAAAGTTTCTAGTTTTTCTGTTGGTCGTTTTGGCTGCCTCGTAAATTGTTAAGCATAGGTCCATTTGGGCTTAATTAGGTAATTGTAAGTGTTCAGTTTTTGTTTTAGGTTTAATTTTGAGAGAAGTGAGTATAACAGTCGTAGTCTGAGGTTTAAAGTTTTTCTTTTTTTGTTTATATGTGGGTCCCACTGTTTATCATTGAAATTACTCATTGATAAAGTTTTCTTATCACAATGATTACTCATTCATTAATGTATAAAAAAAAAATTAATCTGTTAATATCTTTTAAAAATTAATAATATAAATATATAAAATTTACTTAAATACATACATTATGCTCAGGTGAGTAATCCATTTTATTAGTATTATTTGAAGATTAGGTAGATGCCCTTCAATCACAGGTCTAAATCAATCTGTAAAAAAAAGTAACATAATTTATAATTAAATATATTCTACAGAAAGATGATATTTATCTCTGAAAAAATAAGTTTAATGACGATCGTGAATTATTTCATATGGTAAAATATGTTTTTAGAATATGTCTTAAAAATAAAACGGATGTTCTTTCATCCTTGTTACTATTGGGACAACGAGTCATTGTTTAAAAAAAGGAATGAAGATATTTTGTTTTGATTTGCAGTAATGAAGAACTTTTATTATAAATAATGAATAAGAAATTATGAAAAAAATAATAATATTACAAATAATATGATATGAAATATATTGAACAAATAATGAAGATATCATATAATGTATAAAGTTATAATAAAAATTCGGTATAGTGTAAATTTTTATCAGAAAAGGACCAAATCAGTCATGTACTTTATCTAAATCTCTTTATTTATTGCTCTTCTTGTGATAATAATAATTATCATTACTATCATTATTATAGATACCAGACGTAACTTGAGTGTTGATTGTCGGTTTTTTTTAGTAGTTTTATTAGATATTTTAGTCTATTGTTCTACTGATAAATCTTTATAATAGCCAAAGAAAAAAAAATAGTCACACATCAAAATTATAGGTTTTACATTTCAATATGCATATAACCCAAAAATCCATTTAAAAATATCAATCCGTCCGATCGCCACCTGTGTCTACAAAAACTATACCAACTTATAAAAAAAAATGTATATGTACGCATAACATACTTCACCGAAAAGAAGCTGGAAAAAAAGTTATATTTTTAATAATAAGTTAGATTTATTGATTACGATATTGGTAATACATTACTTTAAAACATCCAAAACATCAGTGAGTACAATTTTGATGTAGCTAAACTTTTTAAGTTCTTTTTGTGAATTACATATACTCCACAACCGAATTACAGAATGTCATCAATTATATTATTTATCAAATGTAGTAACAATAAGTGATTCAACGGAGAAAAAATCATCAAAATATTCAGTTTTAATTTTATAATAAGTTACTAAATGACTTATTACAATAAAATATAAATATATTTTGCGATAAGACATCCGTCTAAAACATGGTGATTTTCTTTATCTTTTCATAACATACAACTTTTTATTGACGAAAATTATCGATCATGGGATGTTTTTAAGCTGAAGGCAGATAAACTTTGTCTATTTTATGAAAAAAATAATAATATTTAAAATAATATAATATGAAATATAGTGAACGAATATATTTATATATTATATGTATAAACTTATAACAAGCATTCGGTATAGTGTAAATTTTTAATCAGAAAATGACCAAATCGGTTATATACTCTATCTAAAACACTTTATTTATTGTATTTTTTTATGATAATAATAATTATCATTATTGTTTACAAAATGTTTTGCTCTACACAAAGCGATCACTTAAAAAAAGAAATTTACTAAATAAATGACCTATATATTATTTTTTTTTTACAACGGTCGTTTAAACATCTCTCTCATACTTCAGCCTTCATAAACGATAAACTCATCCCGGGCACAGATTTAAGTGCCGACCGGGATACTGCTGAAGTAAGGCAAGATACTCAAGTTATCAATCAAATTTTGTTGCCCATAATTCGAGGAAGCGGCACTTCCGGTAAAACTTTTAGGATCCTCAGTAAATTATGAATTTATGTCTGCCTTTTATGGAGTTTGAGAGTTATTTTTGAATTTTTCATCAAAACCAAAAACTGATAATATCGCATTTTCTATTTATGATAAAAAGACATAAATATTAAAGCTGAAAATTATTACCCATGTAATAATAATGGTTTATTTTTTCCAAACAATAAGTAAAAAAGTAATATTAGTTTCCTGGTTATGATTGTCTTTTTATGTTTTTAATTTATTTATCTTTAGGTTGTTTTATTTTTTTATTGTACATAAATTTGGTAATTATTTTACTTTTGTTAATTTCATATCTTCTGTATATATGGTATGAATGTGTTATATCATATATCACTATAATTATTGTCCACGTGACAGATTGTTATATTTCTAAATAAAAAAACTTCGATATTTGCAAAAAAAAAAAAAAAAAAAAAAAAATTCACTGTAAAAGTCTACAATAACACAGATTTTTCAACCTGTGTGTTCCTGGAGACACATAGAAGGAAATACCTACTTACACATATAGAGGCTGCCACAGATGATTTATCACTGGAGTGTGTGTTGGATATAAAAAATCTTGACCAGTTGAACAAAATATTTTATTTTATTATAAGTGTTTGTGACTCTATCAATACAAGTACAAACCCTCAGCTTTAGGTCAGTCAAGCATGTGTTCATGTATCCGTGGGCGTACGTGTATTTATTCACAATTTGGGTGCTTTTTAAATATTATAATAATTAATTGTACGAGATTATACATGTGTGTTGTAATAGTAAGATTTCTGCTATTTGTTTTGCTTTGTTGATTTCTGCATATTAATTTTTTATTTTATTTTTATTCATTTATTATATAAATAGTAAAAATATTTGGAGTATAAAAATATTTATGATGTTTGCTATATAAAAATATTTTTGTTTTTGTCTCCTTATACTGTACTTATTTACTTATTTTCTTCTACTTACAAAGCTAATTTCTACTAACACTAATGGGCCAGACTCCATGACTACGATGTATATTAAGCCAATAAAATGTTTTTATTCTATTCTATTTTTTTTCTAAGAGAATAAATTCTATTGGTGAAGCCAATTTGAAAGTATAGTATATTTAACTATTATATATATGTTATATATTTAAAGTATAGTATACTCATGCCTGAAGAAGTAAAGTGGCTTAAGAAGAAACTACCATTTGGTATATTCATCGTATAAGCCATTTTTACGATGAATTAATCAGACGGTTGATTTTCTTGTTTTAATTTCTTAATCATAAATTTCATTAAACTAATAAAAATAAATAAATAAAATAAAAATTTTCCTTTACTTAATGACTACAAACTAAATGACGAAAACATCAGGTGATTACAGAGATAAGCAGAGTCATGATGAAAGCAGAGATTTATTCTTATATTTTCAGTAATGTAAAAAATAAATTTAAAAATTAGGAAAAATGAAAATTCTCTAGACTTTGAGTGATAAAAGCATGGTAAAGTATAAGGATATTTTATAAAAATAAGGAATAATAAAATATGTGGGATTGTAGAGAAAACATAGAGGAAGCAAGTTTCCCTTTTTTACTTTAGCTTACCTGTTTATGTAATATTTATTAAGGAAAGGTGTTGCAATCGTGATAATTTTTGATCGAATCTGCAATCTTGATGCAATCTGTGGGATCGAAAACGAAAATTCCTACGCAACTGAAATTGCTTATTTAAGGTTTTTACATGCCTGGGAAGTTACAAATTTTTTGTCAAAATCGGCTAACCGGAAATGTGACTTCATATCATCCATTTTACACATTGTTACAATTTCCTTGAAAACGTCAAACGATTTTAGTTAAATTAGTTACACCAGTATAAAATTGAGCGGCTTTTAATATAATGTAGATTTCATCCTTGTTGAGGTTCTCTAACAGTGTTTAAATGCCTAATTTACAAAATTTCTTCCATTAAAGATCATTTTTATATAAAGAATAAAAAATGATTGGATATAATAAATGAAGAAAATTTATTTATAAATACATCAGAAACAGCCTACATGCTGATCCTCTCCGTTTACTGTTACCCTCAACAGGGCATGTATATTGTTAATTTAACTTTTATATCACTTATCCATAATTTATGAAAAAGATTATTACGCGAAATATTGATGATCTGCTAATATAAACCTAATATTATACAATATTTACTAAAGTTAAGTTATTTTTCTACGAGTTTCGTTGAAAAAGTTTCCGATAAAATTCAGAATTTTTGCAAAAGATCATTTTCTTTCAGAACCATTCGTATTGTTTGATACTATACACAATCGTAAAAAGAAATGAAAAGCGATGCAGACGTAAAAATTTAACAGATTCAATGGGAGGGAAAAACATGGTAATTAATTTTTGCTTCCTCACTACCGAAGGTAGGGAAGCATTGTGTTCGTGCGTGAGATTAAAAAAAAATTTTTGATCAAAATCGAAAATTTTCACTCGCGTTTTACGTTTCAGACATCAAGGATCAAATTTGGTTCGGTGTCTGTCTGTCTGTCTGTCCGATATAAAATAAATATCGATTGAACACCCATTTCAATTTCTATCTTATCAACATAATATTATTTATGCTTATAGTTTATATACGTATTGTTATCAGTTTGTGATTATCATTGGTACAAAACAAAAATTGTTTTTGTTTTAACTTTCTTGTTAGAAATAAAACAATTACAGATAAAGTCTCACAATTAAAACAAAGCTAAAGTTAATCAACATCTTTAATTTAGGATAAGGAAACCGAAAAGCATTAATAATGATAAACCTCGAAATTATAAAATCAAAAACAGGCAATAGATAAACCCAATAATCATAAATAATATTAGAAATATATGATGAAAAAGAAATTGATCGAGGTAAGATGTGTCTATAAATAACATCGAAAATATATAAAGTTTGCTTAAACGATATACTGAAAATACAAAAAAACCGACAAATTAAAAAAAAATGCTGCTAATATATATTGTAAAGATTATATTTAATAATTATTTGTAATGAACGTAAGGTGGAGAGGACAAGAGCTGACAAGACAACCCCTCCGCAATAGTGGCGCTTCCTGGTGGTGTGTTTCGTAAACCTTATCCGAAACATTGTGGATAACCTCAATTCAACCAAGATGGTCGAAGGAGTACCACTTGTAAAATAAATACCCACATTTCTTATTTATTAGATTTATGAAGTATTAATGTTTGTTTTTTGAAAACTCTATTTTTTTTATTTATTTTTTTTTATGATATTTACAACTGTATACAAAAAATACATCTGGTAAATTCGCACATGGATATAATGACATGAAACACATGTTGAGAAACTACCCATTGGTAGCACTCTAATAATATGTCTACATTAGGAGGTCACGTGGCCATCTTCTTTTCAGACGCCTCGGAGGGTTATCAGGAATTGAATAGCAAGCAAGGCTAGAAACG